TTAAATGTATAAAGAGTTTGCCTACATATGACCTTCAATTAAATCTCAACATAATATTTAAGAGAAATAAAGGAAAAGTTCTCATACCATAACATTATAACAAAGTTAAATTGGAGGTCTGACTCTGTAATCCCATTTTTGGGTAAAGCTTGCAGCAAAGCAGTTCTTACAATACAGATTGTTTACTGAAGGCTTTTGAGCTTCAGACCATTCCCCACCATGTCATCCACAGTTGGTCCATTAATCCATTTGGAATATACATGTACTGATCAATATTCCATTCCCATCAAACAGTAAGCCTCAAAATAAGGGAACATAATGGTTTTCCCTATACTACTGGAAGTCTTATTAGAGTTGGGACTACCCAGTCAGCACAAACTATGGTCAGTGTATGCAGAGCCGTTCCTAGGGCATGGCAACCGATGCGACCGACCCGGGCCCCGCAGTCCTTACCTCACCCAACACCAGAATTAGTGACCACATTAAGCTGACCTCACCTTACCACCCAGATTCAGACCACCTGAAGGATTAGTGACCAGCATAGTTAGGCAATGCATCTGCTGACATGAGGTCAAAGGTAAGATTAAGCCACCCAAACTGAGAACACTGTAATTCTTTACTGTGCTCTCTGCCGAAGAGGAGTAACAGCGGTCACCTGTCAAGTGTTGTCGAAACTCTGAATCTCCAGTTGTCAGTGATTTGTGTTTTGTGAAATTGTTGATATACATTCTTTTACTATCGTACATAGCCCTAGTTTTTTATTATACCCTGGCCAGCAGGGATAGAGACAGATACAGAAAATACATCTTGGGTGCAGAGAAAAGGCAGGAAGAAGAAATCGAAATGTCGATGAAAGGTTCCTTAGAAAAATATCTGCTTTCAAAAACACCAGAAACTAGTGCAAAAAAGAACCTGAGCGACTGTGATGGTAATAGTGTGGGTCACATTCAAGCTGAGGAAGAGGAGAGTACTGAAAAATATACTATGGCTTATAAAATGGACAGTTCTACCGACGCTAACGGGCATGCTGATGAAGATCTATGTGATCCAGCCAACTGCCACATTTACTGAACACTATGACAATTGATATTTTGGAAGAAAAGGGACCTGTTAAGGTATCTAGTGGAAATTGTGGGTTTCCAAAAAATGGTGAAAACTGACAGTTTTCAGAAGACTTTTACATGCAAAGATTGTTAATGGGGAAATATATGAAAGATGTTAAAACATAGTAAATTACATAATACTTGGCATAGTAACAGTATGATTGGGGAATTAACAATATGTATATTATAGTTATTACAGTATGTATGTATGTATGTAACTATAAAAATATATGTTAACCTTTATTTCATATATATATATATATATATATATATATATATATATATATATATATATATATATATATATATATATATATATATATATATATATATATATATATATATATATATATATATATATATGCACACACAAAAGAAAGAGAGAGAAAGAAAGAGTTATGAATACAACAGCAGACATGGTGGTATCCTAACCTTCTCTTGTTTGTTTGGAATAATGAGGTAAGTTGGACCTTGGTGAGATGGGAAGATTCCAATTGTCAGATCTTCTCGAGGGGTGTCATCTTCAGTTGCTTCTTCTCCTTCTGAATCCGAAACTTTTTCTACTTCCTCTACCCGAGCATCCCGCATATTAATTTGACTAATAGGATTCTGTTGGTAAAAAAAATAAAAATAAAAAATAAATAAATAAATAAATGCAAAATTGTTTAGTGGATAATCCATTAGGCCTTTTAACTATGAATGGTTCAGTCTCACCCAAAAGTTCGTTAGCTCTCCCTGCCAGCTATTGCTGCACTGCCTGCTTCAGATGTTTGAACTTGAGTCTGTTACTTTGAACCTTTAGATTCATTCATATCGGTTTCATATTCTGGTTGGTACAGAGACAGTTACAAACATCTGAAGCAGGCAGTGCAGCAATAGCTGGCTGAGAGAATTAAAGAACTTTTGGGTGAGACTGTACAAACACAATCCGAGATAAATTTGAAGCACATTGTATATTAAGTTTCTTTAAAAATTCAGAGATGGATTGGTAATCACTGGTTTGTACTTCATACTGATTCCAGTACAGTACACGAATAAAATCGGTATGGATAAAATGTATTGCTGCATAGTGAAAACGATGGTAAAATTTACAGTGCAATAAATTCTATTTTAGTAAACTATAGATTACAAAAAGGACCCTAAAAATTTCATGTTTTTTATCATTGACAATGTTTTTCTCTTCTTAAAACTTAAAAGTTTTTACCCAACCCGAATGAATCATACCTGATCGTTTGGACTCTTGAAATAAATAAACATTTTTCCAATGAGGACACACCAACATCGTCGTGCATGTCCATGCTTGACTTTTGTAAGCCAACCTTGTAATGTAGGTTTGTTGTCCTCTTTGCTAAGTAGAAGCTTGGTAGCATTACGCCGTAGCACATTCTGGCATGAGTAAAATACAAAAGAAAAATTTATAACATAAAAGAACAAATTATGTTGATGTTTCTGCAGTTTTCCATTCCTCTGGTTATGGGTCATTCTTGATAACTATATATTGTCTTTACCCCTCTCAAAATTTGTGAGAGTGGATCAAGGTATACAAAATGAAGCCTGGAAAAACTGTTCAGCTATGCAATAAATGGTAAAATTTTCAGAAACAGGATCCTAATGAATATACGAGACATGAGGTGATTACATGGGTAATGTAGTTTACTACAAAAATGCAATGTAATAAATGACAATTATGATTACATGACACCATGTGTGTACTCAAACACACATGGTACTACAACACTCACAGTATTCCGAATATTCATATGTAAAGTACTGTACTGTATATATACTCATTCAGTAGCTGTGTTCAGTCAAGTTACATAAAGGATTTTCATCCAATTTAACAAACTGACTAATGTAAACTAAAATGATATTTATGAAAAAAGTCACACACACTAAAGAACAGTGTTCCTTAACTTAAAAAACCTTGTTTCTCCAACCCAGATGGAAGATGCTGTCAGTAGAAGTTGCCAGTACTTCTCAACATACCTGAGGAAGATTATCTGCACCTGACAGATAGGTCACTAATCCTGGTACACTGATGACAAGCAGCCCATTTAGGTATTATACCAGTACCCAGGAATGTATGACATTTTAAAATATAATGGGAATAAACAACTATTGCCATGGAAATAATCATGATTAACATTATATTTCAAGTGTAATCATTTACAATTATAATTAGAATATAGAATAAAGGAATGTACTTGATTACGGTTACTTGAGCGAGTGCAATCGATTGCAAATGAATACGGTTACCCCATGTCTGGTATGTACAGCATATAATTATTAATGAAACTTGAGAGTACAGTATCTGACCAAAATAATTAGATATAACTAAGGGAATAAATCAATCTGAATGTCCATTTTAAGAAATTTACACCTTAGCCCCTGGGCTTCAGGCTAAGGTTGGCACCCTCCTCCATAAGGTTATACCAGGTATTCGGGAACATTTAAAAACAAATAAATAACAATTCTAGTCTTACAAACTGGTCATGAATGTTATAAATAGGAAATAAATATATGTCCTTACCACAGGCTGGCAACACAGGGGCTAGGAAGAGTCTATAGAGTTCATAAAGTTGGCATATGTATGATGCAACAGTATGAGGTAAACAACACGAATTTGTAGGCAGTTTGAAGTACTGTACAGGACACTTGTTTAAATGTTATTACTATTTACACTATTAACAATCATTATAACTATTCCAGTAATTGATCACAATACAGTACAAAACTTGTGTTTGGGGGGTTGGGAGATAAAAACACATGGTAAAGGGAGTCAAAACCAAGGACAAGATTCCTACATCACAAAAGCCGAGAAGCTACTGAGGAGGCTCTCATGTGTGAGTGAGTGAGTGAAAGACAAGTACCAAATTGGTAACATAATCTAGCCAGGCCCACCCTTTTTATTCAAACAGGCCCACAAAAGATCAAAATGTCATGTGATGTGACCCGAAACTCTACAGACACACGTCACAGGGCGTGAACCGAAGCCTCCAGTATTGTTACAGACAGTATCCTAGGATGGTTGAATACATCATTAAAACAGTTTACAGGTAGTCCTTTGAGGTATAACTAGTTGTGTGAAGCTAGGTAAAGTAAATTGCTCAATAATTTACTGAGAAAAACTACATTAAAGGAACTTGATACAGGGAAAAAAACAAAATATATCTTTCAGATGAAAGAAGGCACCTAAAGAATTTTCAATTTACTGAACCTGGTAAAATTGAGGAAGAAAGTATTTCACTTGAAAAGCCAGTCTTCACTGCAATTCTAAGCTTAAACTTTAAACAATAACAAATGAAGATTTAGATTCACTTAACAAGAGAAAACCCTACCTGAAGTACTCTGACCCAGTCCTCTACTAGCGCTGTGTTATCAGCAGTGAGGTAGTATGTCTTTTTGCCAGTGTTGACTTCAAAAGTATGGGCCCCTTCAGAACGGGTTACACGACAAACTTCATTTAGTGTGATTTGACCAGCTGGTTTGCGATGAATATCACTCTGTCAAAGAGATATCAAGCAAATTCATCCATAACATTATTTGGAGAAGTAATACAAATTAATTTTCTGTATGCTGTATCTATATACAATTTAATATTGAGAGAATTGATGATTCAAGTATTTACCTTCATGAATGAAGAATGATGTTCATGTAAGTACAGTATTATAATTGAGGTGGTTTCTAAATTGACAAAACAAAATATTCTACAAGCAGCAAATGGGATAAATCTCTTAATTTTTTAATATCAGACCCAAAAATACAAATACAATTCTGACAATATTGTAAACAACAAATCAAAGTGAATCAAAATGCTTTACTTCTGTAATTTACAATTAACTATTTTATCATAATATCCAGTGTTGCACGCGTCAACAAAAAAAAGTGGCGCTGCCAGCGTTAGTGTAAACAGCCGAGAAATTTGATGCTGTCAGCATTGGCGTAAACGATTTCATAAATTGACGCCGTCAGCGTCAACACCTGGCATCAACGAGTTTTCAGTGACATACAAAAGCAGCCCCGAAACGCGTATTCTCCTGTGTATGGGAGTAACATATGCAAAATCAAAAAATATTCATTCATTTTTAATCATTTATTATGAGTTATATTATATAATTTTAATTATTCATTTGTCCCCCCCACAAGAATACTAGCATCTCAAAATGCTTGTCGCTCATTCTGCTGCGCTTGGGCCTCAAGATGTCCTTGCCCATTGAGAACGTGCGCTCCACGGCAGCACTAGAGGGGATAGGGGTGTTGTATTTGATGAACAACTCCCTCATGGCCTTGTTGGGGAAGGTGTCCTTGTTTAAAGTTTTTTCGAAGGTTTCTCCCCCAGGAAACACTTGAAAAGGTCACTTTTTTCATTCCTGTGGGCGGTCTCGTACAGGGCCTGGAACAATTCGTCCTCCACGTCATGGTCTTTGTCGTCTCCCTCACTCCTGCTCTCAGTCTCGTGCACGGACTTCTTCACCAACCTGGACAGCTGGTTGGTGGCCCTTTTCCTGACTTGAAAATTCAAATCTGCAGAAAGATGCACAGGTGCGCGGGCGGTGGGAGCGGCAAAATTTTTCCCGGTTGTCTTTATAACAAGATAATTAGAAATTGAACTTGGAAAAATAAAAAGTTTTAGAAGTTGACAAACAAATTTACGCTTGATGCTCCGCTCGGGTGAAAAGTTGACTGCGTCACCTGCCCAAAAATTTGATGGTGTCAGCATTATTGCTGCCGTCCACTGACGGCATTAAATTAACGGCGTCAACGTACAACACTGATATTAATACCTTATAAGTAAGTTCTCAGTCTATACAAACCTGACTCTTCCAGTAAGTGAGAGTTCCATCCTTGAGAACAAAGTATCGTTTTTTCCATGTTTTGAGCTTCCCACCAAGCTTGGTTAAGTAGCCCATCTTTTCCAAGGAGCTCTCACGACGTGGTGAAACCGTGCCAATACTGAGGAAGATCACAGAGAAGAGCATATACAGTACAGTAAAAGATTTTTTTCCCATTTAAATGTAATGATTATCAGACCAAAGCTTACAGCCCAGAATTACATCACATATAACAGCAAGTACACTACAGACCTCGTCGTACCACCACATACCAGGTGGACACACCCCAAGACCCTAGGGACGTGACCTCGTCCGCTAATTACCTGAATGAGCGGGTGACCTCACCTGACCAAGACACCTGGGCATGACCACACCTGAACACGCTGTCCAGATCTAACCAGTTTAGTGATAATTGGTTAGAGGTCAAAAGCCGGCTGGGCCGACCCCATATAAAGGCCCTACAGTCCCGTCCACGCTGATTATCATTCTCATTCTCATCCTAGTTGGATTCTGCTCATTTGTCTTATTGAGAGAAGTCACTCTGGTCTCTCACGCAGAGTCACGCTTGTCCTCTCTTCCCAGGTCGGGAGGGAGACTTCACGGCCTCATCAGCTTAGCAGAAGCCTCCCATAGGAGGCAGCCCAGCCAAGCACCCACTGGGCCTACGTCAGGGTACACGTGAGTCTTGTCAGAACTATCCCTAGGGTGAGTTACCTACTGTGGGAAGTGTATTCATTCATGTGTGTCCGAGAGTCAGTGTCAAGCAACGTAACATAATGTGTAGTACCCCGATATAATAATGATATTAACGTGTCCATGTCATTGAGTGAATTAATAAATAGTTGTACCGAAGAGGTGTTTGAGAAGTTGTCCCTTGAGAAGAATAGATATGTGCATTGACGTATAAGATAAGCGTGTTGACGCAGAGTAAATAACATCACGGCCACGCTACCCAACCTTCCTATCTTTACATTCCTACTCTCTATACTTCCTACTTATATGTAATCCTCTTCTCTTGCAAGTTCTGTCTCATTATATAAAATTAAATTATCCTTTGGTGAAGTTCTTACCCAAAATAAGTAAGAGGCCCTTATGCTAATACAATACTATACTGGATTAATCATTACACTGGATAGTTGGGGACAGCAAAATTTCTTGGGGAGGAGAGGGAACTGATCAGCTCAATTTTTTTTCATCTCTTTTAGGGTGGCTGGAATAAAAAATGAATTCATGCCCCCCCCCCCCAAACTTCCACATATACATTTTTACTGATGTAACAGATGTGTTCTGCTTAGAACAAGAATCATAGATATCAAAGCAAAGTACAGTACAGTATATCACAAATATTTTTTTTCAAAGTTCAACAACCATTAGAAACTTACTGGCTTGAGGTAAGAGTGTTAGTTGTAGTTTCAACGCACGACGTCCTAGCACTGAGTGTGGGTGCCATTGTCGATTCCAAAGACCCACTGTCACTTCGGGCATCTGGTGGGATTGCATAATCATCGGACACACCAGACTCAAAGGATGTATCTAGAAGGGAACAAATAATTGATTTCCAATACTATTTTGTCTGCTGCAAGGATAGATGCACTTGGTAGTGGTGAAAGAGGGTTGCAGCTGACACTGTGATCTGAACACAAAAGAGGCTTACCTTATATATTTCAAAGAATACTCTAAGATGGTAGGAGATGGATTTATGATTTACAACACAAACATACAATTACTGTAATGTGTAAAAAATTAAATGTTTGAGTGATGGAGGTCTGCTCATTCATAGCAGAAAATAAGGAGGGAGGAGGATCTTTGTGTGTAAGGATGATGCACAGTGCAGTGGTAATCAGAGTGAGGTAAAAGGTAGAATATCTGGGCACCAGTAAGTGTAGGGTGACTGATTGCATAATCTCCAGCAACAAATTATACAAGAATCACACAAGCCAAAATTTATTTAAATAAACAAATAATACAAAGTAAACCTACAGTAATTATTGTCACTATTTTTATATATTACTGTAATCTGGAGAAGAAAATGTTCTACGCCTTATAAAATGGGCAGTGCCTATTTAGCCATTACTGGTCGAATGCACGGTTTTCGAAGCAGCTGGGATGGTTACATAGACAGCCAGGCTATTCAGTCATGAACCCATAAACATATTAACATCTGTATACCTGTAACTCGAGCCTTGTGGCCTTGAATTAGCGGAACCAGCCTGCAGATGTCTTACAATACAAATCATTCAATATTTTTTGGGTACGTTTGTGTAGGTAGGTGTATTTTCTTGTGCATTTGTTTGCTATGGTACCTGATCATGTATTTTTTTAGTTGATATAGCTTAGACCTCTCAAAGCTGAATAGTCAGGGTTGTGTGGCACCAACCCACAGCCACCAATGACGAGAATCTGTATCATATGCTTGACAAAACCAGAATGTAAACAGAAGTTTTCACAATGAATTGTCTTTGCTTATATCTGTTGTGTAGCTTGTTTCTATGGAAGTTATACTGTACACTTTTATTTACAGATGGCAAAAATGGAAAATCCACAAATAGTTGTCATCCCATGACACTTCCCACACTTAACAGAAAAATCATAAAGAAAATCCACAAATATGCAGTTTTGAGTGCCATCCCACAACACCTCCCTTAGCATTGGTTGCGATGGTGATCAATGTTGCCATTAATTCTTCTCCTTTGCTTTCCACCAGATTTTCTCTTAGTAAGCAATAGTTTCTACTCGATTTTTATAAATAGCAATAGAAAAGTAGCTATATTTTTCAATTTTACTAATACTGTACTATTCTAACTGGGTGATTATTGGCAAAGGAATTTACTGTTGCTTGTATGTACTTTTGTGAAAAAAAGTCCCTTCCACCAACCAGCCACAGTGAGAGTCCAAATCAGGCAAGGTTGAATCAACGAAGCAGCTGAAGGAAGTGACTTGATGGACCATCAAGGCCCTTCCTTCAGCTGCTTTACTGATTCAACCTCGTGATTCAGACTCACACTATGGCTGGTTACTGGAAGGGACTTTTGTCCACAATAGTACACCAGTGTTGGTGATGAGAGGGTAGATTGTTGGTGGCTTACATAAATAATATCAATAATGAAGGAATTTAATTCAGAACATTAATAAAATATATCTAATAACAGAACAGGATTATCACCATGCGAGTTATAGGTGGAAGTGAGTACAGGTTATTGACATCTCTGGATAGTAAAGGATTACCAGAAGCTGGGCTGTTTATATTACTACAGTTTTAAGTTTTGATGTTACAGTGTACAGCTAATGCTAATTTTAGGTGTGAATCTAGCTAAATTTATAAATAGGAGTTGGTAACTGGCAGGAATTCAGTTTCAGAGCTGGTAACATTGTTCAGGTAATTAACCAGATTTTATTTATGCCTACTGTAAATAAGTGTACAATTTGTAAAAAAACTTCCATAGAAACAATTAAGCTCCACAACAGATATAAACACATTTTATTCTGAAAACTTCTGTTTACATTGGGTCTTGTCAAGCATAGGGTACAGACGCTGATCAGTGGTGGCGGTGGGTTGGTGCTACATAGCCCTGACCACGCAGCTTTGAGAGGTCTAAGCTATATCAACTGAAAACTACATGAACTATCATGTATCTGTACCACAGCAAACAAATGTACAAGATATAACACTTACCTATATAAATACAGTACTGTACACAGATGCAACTATTAAAAAAAATATATATATATTGATAATGATTTCTATTGTAGCATGTCTGAAGGCTACAAGTTACAGATATATAATACAGTACAGTATGCCTGGATAATTCGCAGATTTTTATTTCGCGGTCATTTATTATTTGCGGATGACACCCTGGATGTACCCAAGAATGTCTAATTCCTATCATCATCATCAACCAGGAACCTTCTACATGCACACCTCAAAGTAAGTGTACTTAACTGCATTTATTTTTAGTTTGTATGTAATTTTCAGTGAGCTGGAACCAATTATCCAAAATCCCATTGAAACAATGGTTTTGGTTAACGAAATTTTCGGTTAACGAACGACCTTCTAGGACAAATTGTGTTCGTTAACTGAGAGATCATTGTATAAATGGGATGCTAGTGATGTGAAAAGTGAAGTGAAGATAATGGAAAGCGTAATGGAAAAGATTTAATACTGTAATTAATATTTTTGGTGTTCGTTTATATAGGTGTGGGATTGTCAAGTGAGGGTGGCAGTGTGGCGTCTGCTGCCGAGTCTGGTGTTCCTGAGTCTGGTGTTCCTTGATATTGACATTGAAATAGCCTGTTGTTCCCGAGTCAAGTGTTCATTGGTGCTTTAATTAGTAAGAAAATGAACTCGTTAAGTCAAGTTTAGTCACTTTTATTGGCCTCCAGAACCTAACCCTATTTTCCCCATTGATTACATGTAATTATATATCGCGATTTAGTATACAGTATAGCGAACATCGTTGGACCCTATCTCGCAATATATCCCGACCCTACTGTACAGACTAAAAAATAAAGGCAATTCATTTAGATATCAATCAGACAGTCAGGTGACTGTGGGGATACTTATGACTGAATGGCTATTTGTTTACTGTGAAATATTAATTTTCTAAGACAATCATTCAACCTTCTTGATAACAAATGTCAAAGACAACATAGCTTCCTTGCAGTGCATTAATGATGTCTTGCCTAAAATATGACAGGATTGAAAAACAGGTGTAGAAAGTGAATGCTACCTATGGCCACAATAATGGTAACATGAAGGATAACCATGACAAAATCGATTACAGTATTACACTGAAGAGACGTTATGAGCCCGTCTGTATTGTGTGCAAGCTAGACAACTGGAAATACAGAGATATTCTTGATCCTTTATTCATCATTATGGCTGATTACTTTTTCCAAGAAAAACATACAGTAGGTAGCACAAACCCATTTTTTAACTGATTATTCTCAAAGACTAAGTCATCTAACCTTGATGTACAGTCCACCATATTTGTCTTTGCCTTAGAAATTTAATTTTTTCATAAACCAAGTACAGTACTGTACTGTACTGTAGTAGTGCATATATTAAGCTCTTAATAAAATTAGTAGTAAATTAGCCATCTTACTACTGACAACTGTTTCATTAACAGGTCGATATGGACACAGTCAAACAACCTTCATCCAAAACATGCTCAAGAAATAAGAGAGAAATGACTGAACCCTTAGAAGCAGTGCACAATATGTTAAAATATAATATGAGTGTTTTCACCTTTAACAAAATATTAAAAATTCGATTGTTGATTGTTCAGCCTAGGTAAGTAGCAGAGAGGATAACTAAATATGTCTGTTATATTATATAAGAAAGAAAGGAATGTATATTTATATTATATAAGAAAGAAAGGAATGTATATGTGTACATAGACATACACACAAATGCTGTGCAACCATCCCAAGTTGTATGATTTGGGATAACATTTTACCATCCAGGTTGTGCCCCCGAGAGGTGATTGGGTTCATGTGTAACCAAATTGAAAAGGAACGATGTAGATAAAATCAGTAATAAACAAACAAGAAATGTATATCAAATTAAATTTTTTGTGTAATGGGTTTCGTTGAAAAGTGGCAAAGAGGATAATCTCAAGTCCACGAGGGCGTACAGTAAAAAACAACCAGTATACCCGGCTATATACTGTACACTTACGTATATACAATTATAATATTTAATGTATACAATGTACAAAAGTATTCCCATCTATCCTCTGACACTTATCACAGCATTACTACAAAAGATCTCATTCAGCCAGCAATTCTCACAAATTTACCTAATGTTATTCATAGAGGTGGATCTATAATATCTAAGTGGGTTTACCAAACTTCCATCACAAAATAATCTAATGACAATCTAGTGAAGATTTTTAAAAGCACTAACTAGCCCTTTGCTCCCTGAATGGAACTACACTGGACAGGCCAATTACTGTTTGTGTTTAACAAGTGGTTGCAGTGCTTGGAATCATAATAAAAATAAGTAATTATTTTATCCTTAGTGGAACTGGAGGCTAGATCTCTGAATGGTCTACTTTATGGAACACCCTGTAAGCACATTGGAAATAAAATTGCATTTGAGGATGAAGCTGGGCAAGGTGCAACTCAAATGCTCCCACGCTTTCATATACAAAGCCAGAAAAAATGTATATGTTTCAATAAAATGCTCAATGTTGTGTTTGAAGATAGCAGTTTGTCAAGATGTCATATATTTGAGGTGTAAAAATTTTAGTACTCATCTTAAACATTATCAAAATTAACCAAACAAAATTAAATTAAAAAACTTGCCAGTAAACTAAAATTTCATCCTAAATCTAAAAAAAAATTAATAAAACAAAATTTACACAAACCCGGGAGCTTAAGGGTTGGTATAGCATCAGGTATAGAATCTGGCATAGCATCAGGGGGGATGGCATAATCAGCATAATCAGCTGATTCTTGAGATAACCGACTGCTATCTGTGAAATAAGAACACAAGCAAAATACAGTATGCATAAAACATAAGCAACCCAAAATACAGTGATAAACAAACACCAAACTGATGCAAATTATACACCAAAAACTGTATGTGCATATATTATGTGCTACAGCCAAGAGAAAATGACATGCAGTCACTAATGGCCCCCTTATTTTCAAGTCTTGACTTAACTGGGAACACAAGCTAAGTACTACATACAGTATACAGCAGCTCCTCAATTTACGACGGGGTTAGGGACCCAAATCCAGGTAGTAAGTTGAATTGGTTGTAAGTCGAAAATGCTTAAATAAGGGTACATAGAAAATCTAAAATGGGTGTCTCTTTTTCTTCTCAGCACCACAAAACTCTCACTTTTAAGCTTGCCAGCCATTTTAAAGTGAATTACAAACGAAAATTTTGTCAGTACACAGTGCAATCACTAACATTGGGACTCAAAAATATGTAATTTGACAAAATTTTGGTACGACTGAGGCGGTCGTATGTCCGGGTGGTCGTAGGTCGAGTATGTCGTAAGTCGAGGAGTAGCTGTATACTGTACTCAATTAACATCTAAATCAAGATGCATTTATACTTGTGGCACATCAAAAGCAACATTCTGGGAGCAAACATACTCAAAAATCAGTCACCATGAAAATGAGATATTTTATAATACTGTACAAACTCTCACTAGCAGCATCTAGAGTTGGTAAAAAAAAGAACTTTAGGTAAAAATACAACAGCAACTGTAATTAGTTATCTGTTTTTCCAAGTACAGTACTTTAAATATACAGTATACATGATTCTTTTCAGGACTTTTCAAAACTTACAGCATTTCAGCTACATATTAAATCCCATTTGGATATTTTTTTCCCCTCTTAAACACTTTGCTTGGTACAAACTATTGTACAATATAATGCTTCAGAACTTATCTAACCTGTCACTGGTTGTCCATCAACCTTCTAAACACACAAACACCACAAATACTTTCTAAACAATATTTCAATAGATTGAGAATCAGGAGGGACACCTATCAGAAACAGTACAGGTACACCCGAGGCATAACGTAACAGAAGGTCCCTGGATTATGTACGTTGGACTTGCGAACATCCACCAATACGAACGAAGCCCCATAAAGTTAAACTTTAAATTCACAGTATTTTAATTACCTATGACTTATTTTTAACTTTCATTTACTGTACTTTGCTGTCATTCTATGTCTTCTTTTCTCTTAAATTAAGCGATATTAGGTGTACAGGTAAACCTCGAGATACGATAGGGTTAAGTTCCTGAAAACCCATCGCAAGGTGAATTATCATAAATAGAGAGCATTATAACATGGGGGTTCAATGGAAAACGTTCCTAGCCAGTCCCCAAACACACATGTATCACTGACAAAACAATTCCTACAATACTACTTTCAGTACAAAACAATTAAACAACACACACCACATCATGAAGAATAAGCCTGGTTATCATTACATGTCCACTTAAGAGGCTAAGGGGACTCCTGGAGGTGGAGTGGAGACATCACTCTCCCACAATGCCAAGCTTCATCTCAGAGACACGGTTTTCTTGGATGCCTTGGCCTTCCAAGACATTTTCCAAGTTACACTTCACAGTCACAATGACAGAGTAAAAGCACTTGTCACAAAAACAGAGTGAATGATGATAACAAAAACAATGATAGTGGGTGACACTGCTCACATTTTCAAAACAACAGCTAACACACCTTAAAATCACAAAAACACCGCATCATGCTGTGGCAAAATTTGGCATGGAAATGTTTGTAAACTTGGTGTTTTGATTATTTTCTATTCCAAGCAACAGTTATTTTGGCAAGTTTATGGAGATTTTCTTGGATATATTGATATATTACCTATGAAAGAATTTTCTGGAATGTATAGCATCATTTTTGTTACGATTTACTTCTTATTGTAAGCCGAGATTAGTCTAGAATTCTCCAAGCATGTCTCAAGCTGACCTTCAGCGTCTGGACATCGTTAGAATGCTCTAGGCGTCTGATGAGACATACTACTATATAAGTGTCAGCGAGCGGCCTAGAGTCAGTCAACCGTTTCTGCTCAGAGTGTAAAGAACAAGCCTAGTAGAACAACTGAAGATAATTGTTGTGCAAGTATTGTGGAATTGTTGTGAGCTATATAGAAGTGAAAAGATTAAGGAATTGTACACTGGTAGTGTGCAGACTATATATTCGAAGTGAGAAGTCCAGCTGTGAAGCCATACCTTGGGAACAGTGTTGTGAAGAATTAGTGACTATTTAAGTAACTACAGTGCACAAGTGTGTTTCTGTGACCTGGTGGAAATCTACCTGCCTGTTGTTTGTCTGTACACTGATACCGATCGTCGGGAAATTACCGGAGACTGGCGGTACAGCCAATGGTAATTTGATGACACCTGTAAGATATTTACTGCTTCTGTATATACGACCCTGGCCGCTGGTAACCAGTGGTGGAAGCTGGGTAAGTGGCGAAATCAGGGTCGTAACAACAGAAAATATCACTTCACAGTCACCATAACACAGTTCAATCTAAATGTTAATGCTGTCCTCTCACTACTGTACAGTATATAAGAAAAAACAAAACTTGGATGATAAGTACAATGTAAGATGTTGGCCAATAATCATGGAGCCATGCGATGGCAGGTTTACGATCAACAAAGAACCAAACATAGGGCTGTATAGCGCGGGTTGGCCAGTGGCGACACATGGGTAGGCTTACAAGTGAAGGTAGAGGCGTGTCATACATAGGGTTAAATATTGTTTCCTTATACAATGTCACCAACTTTATGTAGAAAATTATAATTTGCGTTGCTGAAATCCTTACAAGATATCAATTAATTTGAATATATACAACCCATAGTTTGCACTAGAGATAAAAAAATTCCAACCAATAAATATCAATGGCTATTCAATGGATATCGTTAAAGTGTGTTATTTTGACCGTATATTGCGAGATGGTCATAATTTATGACCATCGTTAAAGCAGAATATCACTTCTCAGGATATCGTATCTCAATGTTTACCTGTATATAAGGACTTAGGCTATGATATAGTGGGATTTTAAACATTGTTCGGTAAGTACGGTATGCACAGAGGGTATGTGTTCTGTGATCCGTACATTTTTACTTAAGAAGGTCCCCAGCAACGGAACTCATACGTAACCCAGGGACTGTCTGTAGTTTGTGAGCACATACAATCATATTAAGCAGTAAACCCATGGTGATGCATTTCATTTCTATACATGTTAGGATTACTTGGGTAAAAGTTTGTGTAGACAAGGGATACCACTTACAGCAATTTCTCATGTGTAAAAATGATGATACTGTACTATAGTTAGCTAAACGAATCTTGGTAGTATGGGTCGATTGATGATTAGATTTATACAGTACTAGAATCAATAACAACTCACTGGTCTCCCTAGAGGTCCAGTGAGGGACATCTTTCTATGGAGTCAATGTTATTATATGAGGAAACTGAAAATCCCAAAGGAAACCTGCAATATTTTGTAGGGTCACACTACACAACATTCTCCTCTCATCCGACCCAGGTAGGGATTGAATGCGAGTCAGTGGTGAAAGGAAAGTACTGTACACTACCACTGCACCAATGACACAGTGAGTGGTTGGAAATTCTGCCATCTCACTTAGACAATTAGGCTAGTTTAAGCTTAACTTCATAAAACAGATGTTATTCAGATGGGAATCATCCAAGTATGTAATCCTGTGAACATAATTTAGAATGCAGGCAAGACTTCTAATTTATCATGGAAAAATGGCAGTGGCTAGAATGGACAGATATGGCATTTCTCTGAATGTTGCCAGAAAAATCAGATGCAAACTGACATTACAGAATTGCTAAACAGTAGTCCTTTGCCAACCATGGGGGTTAGGTTCCTGAAAAACCCTGTGGTTGGCAAATCCGCAATTGGCAAGACTAAAGACTTATGGAAAATTGGGGGTTAGGTTCCTTGGCTGTGGATAACACTCATCAAAGGCTAACTAAGCTGCCTGTTCCTTCACTAAATAATACCTGTACTGCACATTTAATTAAATTTGAGTCAAATACTGGACATATAAAATAGCTTAACAAATTAAATAGGACAGTAATATAAATATTACAGTACATCTCCATGGAGATGGCATATTTCTGTTAAATAAGAAAAGGTAAAAGCATGGGTGTGTATTTGTGTGAAGTGAACGTGTGTATATGTACTTGGCAGGTAACCAAGTTAGACTCTCCCTGTATCCCAGTAGCTACTATTAATGCAATACTGTACAATCTGAACAAGTTAAAAGGATGAGTTCTGAGAAGGATATCAGGTTGCTTATTAAATACACTAGCAAAGAATAAACTACATTATTGAAAGAAGAGAAATAGTTTGAAAAAATTAATTAGCAGTATCTGCTATGATGAATCCCTACCTCACAAATACTACTATTTACAGCAACTTTAAATTGCTTCACACCAGGGAAGTTGTCACAAAATGTGATGTCCCAAAGAAAGCAAAATTTTACTTTTCTGTGTTTCTAAAGGACTGAGTGGGTGTACAAAATCCATAATTCATAGCAAACTGCAGTGTACATAGAGATAGCACATAGATACTGACAAACGCCAAAGTGAACTGAAAAAAAGAAGAAGAAAAACAGAAGACAACTCTAAAGGCAACAGGGGAGGTTAAAACCACCAGCAGAGGGCAGCTATGCACTGGTTTTTTTATCAATTTATTTTTAAATAGGTGTAGATCTATACACAGTCTGCAGCCCCCCCCCCCCACCACAACAACAACCATGAGTATGATGCGATTCCTGCAGGAGGACGTCGGTTATGGAGGATACAGGCCTGATTAATGCAACGTTTAGGATGATGCAAACTGACATAAAGCATGAAGGTTGTTGCTGGTATTGCCCTGACCGCATAGTCAAGGTGAATGAGGCGATTGCAAGCCATATGGGAACGAGTTCCCTAGGGACGAAAATAGATGAAGCTGGAGCCTTGCTGGTTGCCAAGACTAGAACAAGTTGGGAAAGAGATCCTTGCTAAGACTGAGGAAGTATTCGATAAAATGGAGGTGGTTGCTAAGAGGAGTTATGCTGAGGCATTAGCAGGGCCACGGGAGGTGGCGGAGTAATGCAGGATCAGAACAGGTTCTACAGCAGCTAGGGACTCTGAAGAAGTGTGTCGAAGAAATTAAAATTAACGGACCTACTGCTAGGGGAGAGGAGGAACAACGGGAATGTTTCCAGCGTAGGAACAATGTAATAGTTATTGGAGTCCCCGAGAGCCAGGCGGAGGGAACTGAGAGTAAGGTAACAACACGATAAGATGCAGTTTAAGAATATTTGTACAGAGGTTCTGAAGATGCCATCAACCCCACAGGATGCGAGGAGGCTGGGACAAAAGCAGGGGGATAAGCCTCGCCCCATTCAGGATCACACTAGTGAATGAGGAGGAGAAATGGGAGGTTATTCGGCAGGCAAAAAACTTAGCAAGGAGCGAGGCATCTTGGAGTGTATTCATTCACCCAGATCGCATGGTAATGCAGAGTGAACAGCACAAGAAGCTCCTGCAGGACTTGAAGCAGAAGAGGGAGGAGTAAAGGAGGAACGGGGACGGGTGGTTACGGGTTAACTAGGGAGGGTGGAAGCGCAGTCGACACAGGTCAGCGCAGTTCACCCCTCCACCGCTTACCCCCCACCGAGGGCATCAGCTCCGCCTTGCATCAGACAGGCGAGGATACAGAAGCGCCATATAAACAATGAGCATTTAACCATTACCCTGCAAAATACAGTGTACTTACAAATGCCGTGCCGGAGAATGGGGGGAGCGGGGTTACTACTAAGAGCAGAGAAGCACGAGAACAACGGCCTTTAATGCCGCCGCACACTATCACAGACACTGCTCTGATAAGAGAGGAGTTTGAAACATTACCGAAGGTATATACCAACCGGATATGTAGGAGTTGCAGAACCAGCAGGCCATCTGCAGGTCTGACCCAGGAGAATGTGAGTTCGCATATGGATATGACTGGCTTGGCTTAACCTTTTCAAGAAAACCTGCAAGAGAGGTGGCCCAGTGCGCAAAACCAAGAGCCAGCCAGGCGAGGGGCAGGCGAGGATGCTTGAAGAAGTCCATGGTGTATAATTAAACCAAAGGGAGGAGACTTGGATGGTTGTCGGGTGTATTTAGGATCCCAAACCAAGCGTTCACTATATCAAAGGAACTTAAGAGCCTTAATAGACAATGCGACGATGCTCAACCCTAGCCACCTCCTTATCATGGGGGACTTTAACTATGGCGACATTGACTGGAGACACGAACTCATCCCAAATGACTTGAATAACCTTGCTACTCTTTTTGTAGAAACTCTGAGAGATAATTTTCTGTTCCAACATGTTAGAGACCCGACACATTACAGAGGGGAGCAAACACCCAACCCACTAGACCTCATCATAACAAACGAGAAGGGTATGGTGGCCAAACTGGAACACCTTGCCCCAGTTGGCACCAGTCACCATATAGTGTTGTCATTCAGATTTAACTGTTACCTAGTTCAAGATAAGGCCAGGCCAAGGTGCAAATATTACAAGGGAAATTACAACGGGATGAGGGAAGAGATGAGGGGTATCGACTGGCCTGACTCATTAAGGCACAAGAACGTAGACACTGCGCTGAATATCATAACTAGTAAAGTGATCCATTTGATTGATAAATATATACCCACGACCAAACCCAGTGCCTCTAGGAATACGAGGGGATCCCTACACATGAACCATGAGGCGGTCGACAAAGTTAAGAAGAAAACCCAGAAATTCAAGACGTGGGTTAGGTCAAACGATGAGCAAGACAGGAGGGTGTATGCAAGAGCCAAAAACCAAGCAAAGATAGAATGTAGAAGGGCTGAAGACAGCAAAACAACGTGCCCCTTGACACTTTTTTATTTGATGTGTGTGTGTGTGTGTGTGTGTGTGTGTGTGTGTGTGTGTGTGTGTGTGTGTGTGTGTGTGTGTGTGTGCAGTGTGTTGTGTGTGCATGTGTGTTGTGAGTGCATGTGTGTTGTGTGTGTATGTGTTCATGTATGTGCATGCGTGTGTGTATGTGTGTGTGTGTGTGTGTGTGTGCATGTGTGTGTGTGCATGTGTGTGTGTGTGCATGTGTGTGTGTGTGTGCATGTGTGTGTGTGTGTGTGTGTGCATGTGTATGCATGTGTGTGTGTGCACCTGGAAAATCTTTATTGGTAAATGTTGGAGAATCCCCTAAAATTACCTCCCCAGTACATTAGGAAACATTGTATTTCCAGTTGTAGAATCCACTTCATTCCACATATAATTTGACTCTGGTAGTATCAAAACATCCTTAAGTCTTAAATAAAACTACTTCTGTACATTATTAAAAACTTACAAGAAAACACAGCTGAGAAAGATGAATAATTAATAACATATTAAGAAGAATAACAGCATAACATTCATGTAATACGCATGAAATCATTTGTGATACCCAAGAAAAATTAAGAAACAAGCATACTATTGTATAACTTGTACACACAAGAGAGTAAATTCTAAATCCTACAACACACTGAGGAACTGAGAAGCCCTAACTTGGTGACATCTCTTACCCCTTCTCATACTCTTTGAGGGTGAGGAACCAGACAGCTTGGCAGGAGACAGTGATGATGTCTTGCTCTTGGAAGGAGAGCTAGAGGAGGATTCTGCCGAAGACGAGGGAGTATGAGAGGAAAGACCTCGAGAGTCTGATCCTCCGCAATGGTCTTCCCCGTCGGATGAATCTGAGGAGTCACCCGTGAAAGGGACAGACCGGATTTGACTGGCACGCTGTAAACATAAACAGACAATGCTCAATCAAGATTTTCTCTAATATTCACAGGTCTTTTCTCTTTAATATCTTTTGTAAATTCAAGTCCAAATAATCACTTCATAAAAACTAAAGACAAAAAAGCTTGCTAAAGGATCCATTTATCTCACAGCATGCATTCTTAGATTAAAGCAATTATTTATCATTAACTGATCACTATGACTCAATTTGGTGACTGTAGTATCCTAGATTTGATATACCCGCACTGTACTTACTCCCTTAACAGCAGCGTAGACAGGGACATGGATCTCTGGGTAGCTGCCGAGGCCAGAGCTCCTCATTCTACTAGCTGCTTCCCCAGTGGTGGCAACCACACCGGAACCAGACAGCCCTTCCTGTGCCACCTGCAACACAAATTTCTCTCAAATACTGTAGATAAAAAATTGGTAAAAAGTAAACAAATAATATACAGGGGGTCCCCAGGTTACGAACGGGTTCCGTTCCTGAAAACTTTCTTTAGTCTGATTTGCATGCAAGTCGGAACACATGCTATGTGCATACCGTACTTACAGAACAATGTTTAAAATACCACTATATCATAACCTAAGTCCATATATACATTTAAAGTCTCTTAATTTAAGACAAAAGAAGAAAAAATGATAAAAATACAGTAAATGAAAGTAAAAAATAAGTCATCAGGTAATAGGCAGCTACCAAACTGGGAGGTACTACTTCCTGGGAAGATATTGGAAGCATAATGTATTGTCTAATGGTAGACCCTGCTGCCATATAGCATCACAAAAATTGTGAGCCAGGTTGCTGATCTGACTTTCTGCCTCATTTACACACAATTGCAAGGTCTCAATTGTTTCTCTTACTATTGACAACACAACATACATACAGGTACAGTAGAGTATATTGTTTCTCACTCTTGATCTTTTTTTTATTTCTTTATGGTTCTTTATTAATATTATTATTATCATCATCATCATCATTATTATTTTATTATTTTTATTTTTTATCAGATTTTACTTATCTGAATTATTATTATTATTATTATTATTACATTTTCGCCCCCCAGGCCCCGATGTGGTTCAGTGACCTGTGCCCGGGTGGGCTAATGCCTGTAAAAAAAAAAGACACCGTAATTTCAAGTTTAGCCCCGTTTGTATCGGCTGGCATTCATAAGCCGGACATTCGTAAATAGGGGACGCCTGTATACAGTATTGTATTGCTGTACAACAACAACAAAAAAGTCTCTAATATTACTGAGTGCAAGACATCACTGTATATTTGGTGTATAATCTGTAGTTTGAAAAGGAGTTAATTTTCAAAGGACATTCAGAGAATCTGATTCCAATCTAGACTCGCAAACTACGAGACAGGTGTTCAATCCCATGGTGACACAAGGTTGGAGGGGGCATTTATTATCTTATATGTAATGCCCATGAATTAAGCTCATTTTATCAACAAAAGATTCGCCAACTTCAAAATATGTGAGAGACGATGTTTAAGGGGAGAATTCTCTTTTAAGTCTGCCTGTTGGTTAATGGTTACTGTTTTCACCTAAAAGATTCTGAACTTTTATCCAAAAACTAACATATCAAGTCTCTGGTCCATTTAGAGTTCCCAAATTTTTGTCCACTATAAACAGTCCCTGCAGCCATTTCAGATTCAAGCCAATAAGTTCTCAAAACTGGCTGTCAAAAAGTCATGAACTACAGTATTTGCTGCGAGTGGAATTCCATTTCCAAAATAAATTCCTGAGTTACAAAGTAAGTACTGTACCGTAGTGAGGGGTCACTCTTAACACAATGGTATAATACCAATACTGTACAGTATGGTTTGGATATACAGTCGACCCTCGTTAATTCGGACTAATAGGGGGGAAGGGTGTCCGTTTTAGCCGATTGTTCGAATTAACCGATTTAGGGGTTAATACTGTATTGCATTATATTTCAAAGTCATTGTTTTCGTCACGATTTTATCCCACTTTCCACTGTAATACGTACGTAACTTCAGCAAAAATATTACATTTCCGTGAATGTATTATATCAAGCACAGTATGAATAGAATATCATTGTAATATAACAGTATTTTAACCGAAAACTATTAAAAAAACGAGTAACTTCTCTTGAACATCGGAAGGTTAGGTAAAGTCTTTTGTTTTCGTCATGTATTTTATCCTATTTTACATTAAAATACATCACGTTTCAGCAAAGCTACTATTTATTTCCGAGAATATATTCATTCAGGCACAGTTAAGGTAAAATATACATGTGATGTAACAGTTTTTTAACTGAAAACGATTCGAAAAACACGTGTACCGTCTAGCTGATACAGTTGGTGGTGCGTCTTGAGTCGTTGTAAACAATAGGAGGTTGAGTACGAAGTGGGTTCTGCTATAACTGGCGTGTTTATTAGCAGCGAATTTGCTCTTGATTTACGATTGAACAATATTTGTGTGTACTCTTATGACGCTTATTTTGCTACTCTTAGCGATTTTTACTTACTATTTTGCCAATTTTGTGGTGACAACTGTGAATATGGTGAAAGAATATATCTCAAAAAGCGTTCTGATGATCAGAATTCGGTGATTATAAAGTAAAAGAAAGGATATAACGCGAAGAAGCTGGAGTAATTTATCAACCTCCAAATCACCTTCTCCCCCATCAAGTTACATTCCTTATGTTTTCAAAGGTAAAGTGTTAAATTTACTGTATGATTTCATTATTAGATATGAATGTAACATTTATTTAGACTTTATGCTATCCTTTGTGTTGGGCTAACTACTAAATTTTTTCGATTTGAAGGTAATCTGCACCTAACCCTATTTTCTCCATAAGCCCTGTTATTTCTAATGCAAATTTTCTATAACACGATATTTTACAGAACACAAGTGCTCGTAGTTATAGCAGGGCCTGTAGATTACCGGGTAATATATTAAGTGTGAAATATCGAAAAGGTTTTTATTACCGGTATTTTTTTGTAGATCAATGAGAACTGATACCGTATATGATATGATAAGTTAGCCTGAGCTAAGAACTTCAACATAGACTACTGAAAACACGTTGTAAGGTAATTTAGCCTATTGTAAGTTGGTGAGCTTCATTTGATGAAGGAACTGCACAACTTTTCATTACTAATTGGTACATATTTTATGTTTCCATTGTTTACTGGCAGTAAATGGTAAATATTTTTCATGTCTGAAGCTAAAAGTTGCATCCTCCCCCCACACTAGTGGTGGAGATGTTACATGTTTTATCCCAGCAGTGGGTGGACCAGCATTTTAGCTTAAGGTCCGCGTAGGTAATATTCCTACAAATCTTAAAAAAAAAAAAAAACAGATTTTGTCCAAATTATCCGAAATCCGGATTAAAGGGGTCCGAATTTTGTATAAAGATTTTTTTATATCGCGACTACCAAAATTATCGACATTTTCCAATATACAGTACAGCGATAAATTTATTTATTTCACGAGGGAAATCGGGCAGGAAATATTTCAAATTTAATGCCATGGTAAACAAATGCGTTATTTGCTCACCAGAGGCGTCACTGTGGCTGTTCACTCACGCATTCACACTCGCCCGCACAGTCTTCCCGAGCGAGTGACGAGCAAGCAGTCGACTCTGCTGCAGATTACGACTTCTAAGGCGAGTGTAAATGGGATGCTAGTGACGTGAAAAGTAAAGTGAAGAGAATGGAAAGCTTAATGGAAAAGATTTAATACTGTAACTAATAAATGGGTTGTTCATTTATATAGGTGTGGGATTGTCAAGTGAGGGTGGCAGTGTGGAGTCTGCTGCCGAGTCTGGTGTTCCTGAGTCTGGTGTTCCTTGATATTGATACTGAAATAGCCTGTTGTTCCCGAGTCGAGTGTTAATTGGTGCTTTAATTAGTAAGAAAATGAACTTAAGTCAAGTCAAGTTTAGTCACTTTTATTGGCCTCCAGAACCTAACTCTATTTTCCCCATGGATTACATGTACTGTAATTTATATGGCGAACATCCTCGGAGCTTATCTCGCGATATATCCCAACCCTACTGTATATTGCACCATCAGAATCCATAATATGATAACAGTACAGTGGTCCCTCGGTTAACGAGCGCTTCAGTTAACAAGATTTCGGTTAACGAGCTACCTTCCATAAGATTCTTAACTTCGGTTAATGAGCAATCCCTAGATTAACGAGTTTCTTACGAGCCGACCTCAACATGTTTTCGCTTGCATTTGGCGGTCAACCAGCTGTAGTATTAGTCCGCCAATACAGTAATCGGTTCTAGGGCTTAAATTCCTTACTATTTTAGTAAATATCAAGAAGTTTATACTATTCAATAATTTTAAAACTTTAATATTAAATTTTTTAGTCATTTTAACAATTATTGAACATAATTGAAGGTAAAGAAACTAGTTTCTGGCGGGCCATCCAGCCTGTTAACACACCAAACAGGTGTTAGTCTCTCTCTTTTCAGTGGAGGTAACATCTTGCTTGAGACTCTCTTCAACTAAACGTTTTTTTTCTGTGTTTCCAAGCAAATTATTGGTCATTTTGAAATTTATTTTACATATTGACAATATATAGCACAGTGCATTGTTATTTTAAAGAAAATATTCTTTATATAGAGGAAGTTTAACTTAAAATATCACGTGTTGTGATTGTTTGAATCCGGCATGGGGCCTAAGAGATCAAGAAAAGCGATTTCAATCCAAACTAAGCAGGAAATTATTAAAAAACATGAAGAAGGCATTAGAACAAATGCGCTATGCAAAGAATATGGCATGTTGACATCAACTGTGTCGACAATTCTTGCACAAAGAAAAATTTAAAGAAGTGAAAGTGAGAGACAAATCTGCCAGTGTTTTTAAAGGTTAGATCCCTAATTGCAGAAATAGAGAGGTTACTTCTCATCTGGATTAGGGAAAAACAGATGAAAGGTGATTCAGTTTCTACTGAATTCATTTGTGAAAGAGCCAGGGAGATTTACGAACATTTAAAGACAGATCAACCTGGTTCTTCAGGAACAGAATTTGAAGATTTTAGGGCCAGCAAAGGCTGGTTCGAAAAATTTAAGAAAAGAAGTGACATTTTCAGTGTTATTAGGCATGGTGAGGCTGCTGGTGCTGATAAGGCATGGGCAGCAAAGTTTTTAGTGGAGTTTAAAGAACTAATGGAAGAAGAAAATTATCTTCCACAGCAAGTGTTCAATGTGGACGAAACTGGGCTGTTTTGGAAAAAGATGCCCAAAAGAACATTCATCACCAGAGATGAAGCCTCTTAGTACCTGGGCAAGTATAAAACCCATAAAAGACCGTTTCACTTATTGCTTGGTGCTACCAGGGGATTTCCCTCGACTGAAGTTTCACGCTTGTCTGCCACTCTGAAAACCCCAGGGTGTTAAGTAACAGAAAGTGGCAAGAGGAAAGCTGGAGTTTACGGAAGTCCAACTCAGAAGGCATGGATGATGACAAGACAGTTTCTCTTAATGAATGGCTGTTGAGGTGTTGCCTTCTGTCAAGAGCCACTCTAAATCCACCAATAAACTCCTCAAAGGCTCTTTTCTCCTCATGGATAATGCTCCTGGTCATGACCCCTGAATCCTGCCAGAACTTTCACCAATTTGACTATGTGAAAGTGTTGTTTTTGGCCTCCCAACACTGCTACATCAATCATACAGCCAATGGACCAGAATGTGATCAGCAATTTCAAGAAGGTATGAAGAAAATGTTTAGGAGGTGTCATCAGGAAACTTCCACTGATCCTAACCAACACTGAAACAGTTCTGGAAGTGAGGCCAATTCAACATCCTGGAGGCTGTAAATTCAGATTGCTTTCATCATGGTAAGAAGTTCTCACTAGATCCTCAATTCTTCATGGAAAGCACTGTGCCATCAGTGGCCTGGATGATTTTAGAGGGATTTCAGGATGACACAGTGAGTTGGACCAGGAGATTGTGTCCATTGGTCAGTCATTGGGCCTGAAGTGGAGGAGGATGATGTCAAGAGTTTGTGATGTCTCAGGAGGAAGAACTTTACTCCTGAAGACTCTTGCAGGCAACTGGATGAGATGTTAGAGGCTGACAATGGTGAGGAGGAAAGTGAAAGTGATGACCACATGTCAACTTCAGAGTTGAAAGATGCGGCTGGCCATCAGAAAAGTTCAGGAACTGGCTTCAAGGCACCTAGATGTGGGAAAATCTGAACTAACTTTGTGTCATGTTGAGGACACAATGGTCTCTCTTAAAACATAAGTTACCAGATGAGGAGGAGAGATGCCCACAGACCACACTGACATTTTCTTCCAGTAAAAGGGATAAAAGATGCGAAGCCTCAGCCTTCCACTTCAAGAAGGAGAGATGATAGTGCAGTCAGCCTTTCCACTTCAAGGAGGAGATGTCATGGTAGGAATCTGTCAGTCCAGAGGTTCTTGACATTTTCAAGGAAGGTGACTCACCTTCCAAGAAGCTGGTGCAAAATGCTTCTCCTCCACCTCCACTCTCCCTTCCTCCTCCACCTCCACTTCCTTCTCTTTCTCCTTCTCTCCACCTCCCACTTCAAATTCACATCAGCATCATCATAGAGAAGCCTTCTACATACACACCTCAAAGTAAGTGTAACTTTCTACCTTTTTGTTGAATTTAGGATTTGGTGAGCTGAAACCTAATTACCCAAAAACCCATTGAACATCGGTTTCAAGCTAGCTGTTAACCTGCTGGAACGGATTGTGCTCAAGTAACCGAGGACCACTGTATTGTAATTTCATTTATAACAAATATTGTACTGTAATGTGACCAGTAAAGCACCAACCTGTCCAGTGAAGAACCAGTGGAATCTGTATTTTCAAAAAATTATTATTAGTACAGTATTACTTTTTTTTTAACAGCCTCAGTTTCTGACAAATTTCATAAAAAGTGATAATCTTTCCCGAGATATTTTGTTCGAATACAAAGTACTGTACAGTAAATAAAATAGCTCAAGTAAGCTTGAGTTGCTATCTAACTCGGAACAGTTATATTTTATTGTACTGTTTAAATTTGTCACAAAATAGCCGCATTAAATCACTTGAGAGGGATACAAAGCATTATCATCCAAAGTATTGTACAGTATATGTACAGCCTTCTTACCTGGTATATTCTAGACTCCCATGAGGGAAAGCGGTGCAGGGGAGGTGTGGGAGGCTTTTCTCCATTGGTCTCTGTGTCCCCCGGCCAGCGGGCATGGTCACGGCTGGGCGAGTAGATCTCACTGTAGTCATGGGCTTCATCCTGGCTCGGGATTCCCTACCATCATCACCAGGTGGCTATCTCTCAGACCAGCTAACTGACTTGAATTGGTGCTCTCAGTGTTGTCATAACCATCCAGCCTAGATCAAGGCTGTCAGCACTCTTTTGACATAGGTTGGCACGCCTTCTGAGGTGCTGGTGCGTGGCTGAGGTACAGGTTTCCGTGGGCTGTTCTCCCACTGCCAGCCCGGAGCCACTTGGCAGCCACCAGCTCAGGCCAGGCTATTGACATCACTTTAAAGGACTCTTGGGGCTCAAACTTTGGCGGAGTTCCATGTTCACTAACCGGAGTCTACACGAGAGTCTTCTATCCTCTTTCGTTGTTATATCTTCTCTCCAGACCAGTCCTTGAATTCCATTGTGTCGAGATTCTAAAGCGAATCTCGCCATATTGGCATCGGTGTCACTTGAGCTGGCTCTCTCAGTCCTGGTAGGTGACCTTTTAAGAACAACAACAAATAATCAAATAATTATGTTTCAGCTCCATTGGTAAAAGGTAAAAAGAGTTAACTTTATACTGTGGGTTGTTTGTTAGGCAAAGCAATGAATTGTGTGTGGTAGTGGTATTTGGGCTTTAAATCATATTTTGCATAGTGTAAAATTACTGGAATAATTATGAAGTGATACATATATCAAGTACATATATAAATATTATTTTTAGGCCCTTCTCCCATTACCATTTGACATTTTCATTTTTCAAAGTTTATGACTGACTATTGATCAGCTGATACATACCAAGAAACAAAAAGAACTAAAATAGTGTAACAACAAAAAAAAAAAAATAAAAAAATTCGATGTATAAGAAAAGTTATGACAAAATTGCAAAAAGTGTAAAAAAATCCGTAACAGACCTTAATGCCATCACTAAATAATATGAATTTTATCAATGTTCCACAGTCGTTATCAATCTACATTTATTATGCCTTTATGTAGCTGTCTTTTACCTTTACTACCTCAGCATTTTTGCATTATTTACGAGTCTGTGATGACCATTATTTACTAGTGTGTGTGATGACCACTATTATTTACTAGTGTGTGTGTGATGACCACCATTATCTATTAGTGTGTGTGTGATGACAACTATGTATTCACAAGTGTGTGTGGATGACTATTATCTATTAGTGTGTGTGTGTGTGTGTGATGACCACCATTATCTATTAGTGTGTGTGTGTGATGACAACTATTATCTACAAGTGTGTGTGTGTGATGACCACTATTATCTACTAGTGTGTGGTGGTGATGACCACTATTATCTACTAGTGTGTGTGTGTGATGACTACTATTATCTATTAGTGTGTGTGTGATGACTCACTATTATCTACTAGTGTGTGTGTGATGACCACCATTATCTATTAGTGTGTGTGTGATGACTATTATATATATATCAAGTGTGTGTGTGTGATGACTACTATTATCTATTAGTGTGTGTGTGATGACCACTATTATCCACAAGTGTGTGTGTATGACTACTATTATCTACTAGTGTGTGTGATGACCACCATTATCTATTAGTGTGTGTGTGATGACAACTATTATTCACAAGTGTGTGTGTGTGATGACTACTATTATCTATTATTGTGTGTGTGTGTGTGATGACCATTATCTACAAGTGTGTGTGTGTGTGATGACTACGATTATCTATTAGTGTGTGTGTGTGTGTGTGTGTGATGACCACCTATTATCTATTAGTGTGTGTGTGATGACCACTATTATTCATTAGTGTGTGTGTGATGACCACCATTATCTATTAGTGTGTGTGTGTGATGACAACTATTATCTACATGTGTGTGTGTGATGACACATTATCTATTAGTGTGTGTGTGTGTGTGTGTGTGTGTGTGTGTGTGTGTGTGTGTGATGACCACTATTATCCACAAGTGTGTGTGTGTGTGATGACGACTATTATCTACTAGTGTGTGTGTGTGTGTGTGTGTGTGATGATCTACTATTATTACAAGGTGTGTGTGTGATGACCACTATTATCTACTAGTGTGTGGATGACCATTATATTATTAGTGTGTGTGTGTGATGACAACTATTATCTACTAGTGTGTGTGTGATGACCACCATTATCTATTAGTGTGTGTGTGTATGACAACTATTATCTACTAGTGTGTGTGTGTGTGTGATGACCACTTCATTAGTGTGTGTGTGTGTGTGTGTGTGTGTGTGTGTGTGTGTGTGTGTGTGTGTGTGTGAATACTATTATCCACAAGTGTGTGTGTGTGTGTGTGTGATGACACCATTATTATTAGTGTGTGTGATGACCACTATTATCTATTAGTGTGTGTGTGATGACCACTTTATCTACTAGTGTGTGTTTTATCTACAGTGTGTGTGTGTGTGTGTGTGTGTGTGATGACCACCATTATCTATTAGTGTGTGTGTGTGATGACCACTATTATCTATTAGTGTGTGTGTGTGTGATGACCACTATTATCTACTAGTGTGTGTGTGATGACCACCATTATCTATTAGTGTGTGTGTGATGACAACTATTATCTACGTGTGTGTGATGACCACCATTATCTATTAGTGTGTGTGTGTGGATGACAACTATTATCTACAAGTGTGTGTGTGATGACTACTATTATCTATTAGTGTGTGTGTGTGTGTGTGTGTGTGTGTGTGATGACCACTATTATCCACAAGTGTGTGTGTGTGTGATGACGACTATTATCTACTAGTGTGTGTGTGTGTGTGTGTGTGTGTGTGTGTGTGTGTGTGTGTGTGTGTGTGTGTGTGTGGGATGACCATTATCCACAGTGTGTGTGTGTGTGATGACTACTATTATCTACTAGTGTGTGTGTGTGTGTGTGTGTGTGTGTGTGTGTGTGTGATGACCACTATTATCCACAAGTGTGTGATGACCACTATTATCTACTAGTGTGTGTGTGTGTGTGTGATGACTACTATTATCTACATAGTGTGTGTGTGTGTGTGTGTGTGTGTGTGATGACCACTATTATCTACAAGTGTGTGTGTGTGTGTGTGTGTGTGATGACTACTATTATCTACAAGTGTGTGTATGTGTGTGTGTGTGATGACTACTATTCACTAGTGTGTGTGTGTGTGATGACCACTATTATCTACTGTGTGTGTGTGTGTGATGACTACTAATATTCACTAGTGTGTGTGTGTGATGACTACTATTATCTATTAGTGTGTGTGTGATGACTACTATTATCTACTAGTGTGTGTGTGTGTGTGTGTGTGTGTGTGTGTGTGTGATGACCACATTCATTAGTGTGTGTGTGTGTGTGTGATGACTACTATTATCTATTAGTGTGTGTGTGTGGATGAATACTATTATCTATTAGTGTGTAATAATAACACTAACTGTTTATTGGAGAGCTTGGCAGCCAGAGGTGAAAATATACAGTTACATATTTGGTGAATGGGTTATGAATTACAAATAATATACAGGGATATAGTGACACAAATAAGATATATAATCTAGATGGGGAAGTGCTAAACTAGCAGTTTATTTTTCAACATATGTGACAGTGCGGAGAGTGTTTACTGGGAGTGAATACACTGGTTTATTAAGGTTATTGATAATTTTACAATGGGATGGGCTTGTTCTTATAGCGATGTCAGCGTGACGTATGGGCTGGATGCGGTTGTGTGTGTGTGTGTGTGTGTGTGTGTGTGTGTGTGTGTGTGTGTGTGTGTGTGTGTGATGACCACTATTATTTTATTGTGTGTGTGATGACTTACTTTATTATATGTGTGTGTGTGATGACCTACTATTATTTACAAGTGTGTGTGTGATGACTACTATTATCTGGCAAGTGTGTGTGTGTGTGTGGGTGTGATGACCACTATTATCTACGGAGTGTGTGTGTGTGATGACTAATATTATCTACTAGTGTGTGTGTGATGACCACTATTATCTACAGTGTGTGTGTGTGTGTGTGTGATGACTACATCTACTAGTGTGTGTGTGTGTGTGATGACCACTATTATCTATATGTGTGTGTGTGTGTGATGACCACTATTATCTACAAGTGTGTGTGTGTTGACTACTATTATCTAATAGTGTGTGTGTGATGACCACTATTATTTATTAGTGTGTGTGTGTGATGACCACTTATTTTCTAATGTGTGTGTGGATGACTACTTATTATTTACTAGTGTGTGTGTGATGACTACTATTATCTACTAGTGTGTGTGATGACTACTATTATCTACTAGTGTGTGTGTGTGTGTGTGTGTGTGTGTGTGTGTGTGTGTGTGACTACTATTATTCAGTGTGTGTGTGTGTGTGTGTGTGTGTGATGACCCACTACATTATCTCAAGTGTGTGTGTGTGTGTGTGTGTGTGATGACCACTTATTATCTAAAGTGTGTGTGTGTGTGTGTGATGACCAATTATTATCTACTAGTGTGTGATGACCACTATTATCTACTAGTGTGTGTGTGTGTGTGTGATGATCATTATCTACTATTGTTTTAGGTGATGACCACTATTGTCTACTAGTGTGTGTGATGACCACTATTATCTACTAGTGTGTGTGTGTGTGTGTGTGTGTGTGATGACCACTATTATCTGCAAGTGTGTGTGTGATGACCACTATTATTTATAAGTGTGTGTGTGTGTGATGACTATTATTTACTAGGTGTGACATTAATTTATTATTCACTAGTGTGTGTGTTGACCATTATTATCTACTAGTGTGTGTGATGACCACTATTATCTACTAGTGTGTGATGACCACTATTATCTACTAGTGTGTGATGACCACTATTATCTACTAGTGTGTGTGTTGACCAGTATTATCTACTAGTGTGTGCGTGTGTGATGTTCACTATTATCTACAAGGTGTGTGTGATGACTACTACTATTATATACTAGTGTGTGTGTGTGTGTGTGTGTGTGTGACCCTTTTTGGCTGAAGTTTGATCTGAGTTTCTCTCAGTCAGGAAGAGTTTTGATCTTGCTCAGACCACCTGGGGTCCGTGGTCATAGTAATAGTCAA